TTATTTTTATTTAAATAATTAATTTTTATTTATAATTAATAATAATAAATAAAAATTAATTACTAACATTTTAATAAATTAATTTATATCGATTGAAATATATAAATAAAAATTCACTATCTTATATTTATCAAACAATATCTGTAATTTTTTTTTTGATAGATCCTCATATACTCTATGTTGCTGGGGCTATAAGATGCCTGATTGCAAGCAAAGAGACAAAATGGGTGCCTCCACTTTTTGAACCAATCAAAGATGTGGATCTGCTGCTGACCTTAACCTACTTTCTCTCTCTAATAATGGAATTGGAATATTGGAGTAATTTTCTTTTCAACCCATATAAACCTTGACGTTCATAGTTTATACACTCACTTTTTTTATGATTTTTATTTCAATATTAATAATAAATGAATTAATAAAAAAGTTATTAAATATTATTACTACTTTATGAATTATTTGTAATACTTGCACTTTTATACCTTATACTTTTTTTTTGATTAACCTAGATATTCAACCTGTTATGACAACCGATTAGTCTCAGGCGATCACTTGCTTTGCGAGTACACCGGAGTCACTGCATTTGAACCTCCGTGGCCATAAGGGGATTTTTATTTTTCATTGGATTTGAACTTATGACCTCCAGACACTTTTGACCTTTTGAGCCTAAGCTCAAACCAATCAAACACCACCCTTGTGGTTTTTGTACCCTTATACTTACAGATTAAATAAATAACCATAAAGATAAAAAGTGTAAGTATTAAAAATAATTCGTACGTATTTATGATATTTAATACTATGATTAAAATAAAAATTATTCAATATTAGACTCATTTTGAACATATTGACGAAACAATTATAATTGTGTAATTTGTAAAAAAAGAAACATTTCTTTACGTATTTTAGTTAATATACGATTATGTATATTAACATAAAAAAAATATCAAATAAATTAGATAACTAATTATAAGGGTGTAAAGTATAGTTTTTTTTTCTAGCAAAATATAATCTTTACTCATAAAATGCTTTTTCTACAAGATGTTTTCTAATTATTTTGGCCAAAAACAATCCTTACGTAGGGGGGAAAAAGCATTCCACATAAACTTTGGCTATTTAAAGAATTTAGTTTCTCACATGGCTAAAAAGTGAAAACCATTTGACGGATTGATTATTTCCGTCAATCTCCTCGGGTGCTCTCTCCCCATTCCTCTCCTATAGAGAATTTGTGAATAAGATAGGAAGAGGTAAGAACTAGATTTATACATAACGTAATTTTTAAAAAATTGTCACTCTAAAAAACTAATATTAAATGGTTAAGAAGAGATTCATCATGTTATTTGAAAACTAGTCACAGGTTTTATAAAAAAAACAAAAATCAATAAATAACAGTCTATTTTATATCAAATTCATTTTAGGCAATGTATATTTAGGAACAAATTGTTGCATGATTGACATGGCACCTGTTGGTAATGATAGCCAATAACGTCCGGATGAAAGAAAAATAACGGAATTTTATATTTTAAGTGATTAATTTAAAGATCTTATGTTATATTATTATCAATTTAAAGATCTCCATTATAACTTAAACATCTTGAAGTTTTTGTGAGAAAACAAACCCTAATCGATCGAATGAAGATGAAGTAGAGTACAAAAAACTCAAATGGAAAAAAACATAAAACTCTATTTACAAAATACATAGGAAAGTTACAAGAGAACCCCTTCAAGTTTATGCAACACTGCTCTGCTGAAACAAAAACAATCTCAAAAGATAAAACAACAAAAGACGCAAATAAGAGAAAAGCGACAAGATTGAAAGCTTGAGATTGATACTTTTAACATTTTTTTGGGTCCTACTGGTTTTTTACTTTATATCATTTATATTTTTATTTATAAAAATCAACATATTGAATTATATATATACAAATACATATTTGTTTATATCGAGAAACTATTATTATTTCACATATATATACATATATATATATAGACTTGGGATCATGTGAGACCAGGGGTTTTTTGTGAGACCCGTAAGACCAATTTTCAATCATTGGATTATATTTACAATACATTCATAATTACAAAATTGCCATGAAACTTCTCAATAATCACAAAATTGTCACCGTACAACTTTAGACCATTAGATCATTAGTTTATAAAGTTGATCAATGAACATAAATTGGTCTTACGGGTCTCACGAAAAACCTTTGGTCTCACGTGAGACCATTTTTTTACATTTGAAACTTCCCAGTGTTTTTGTTGTGAAGATCCGGCTTTCTTTACCTTCACAATGTTTTGTTGTGAACTATCAAGTGTAAAAAAGTAGTCTCGCGGGTCTCACGAAAACAAACTGATATCACATGAACCCAACCCTATATACATATGCATACATATGTATATATATAAAAGTTTGTGATAATATATTTAGAATAAAAGTTGGAAGGGTTTCACAACTTCGTTTAAACCGTGAGTACGCAACATGAGTGTATCCAAAAAACTATGAGTGATGTGATTAACTAAGTATATAAAAGTATAAAATCTAAAGTTAAATATAAAAAGATAAAAAATTATTGGAAAACAATAATGTTTAGTAAAAGACGCCCGCCACGACACGCCATAGCCCGCCTCAAGGCGTCATGAGTTACGCCTTACACAAATGCTATGTGTCTTATCGTAATGGCGGAGACGCGTCTTATGTCATGGCACACTGTGACGCACATTATCACATGTTTTAAACAATGATATATATATATATATATATATATATATATAATATACACACACATACATACACAGTGGCGGATCCAGGATTTTCATCGAGTGGGTGCACCCTTAAATTAGATCAAATGCCCGCAAAGCCGCTTGATGTGTTTTTCACCGAATTATGCTTTCTAGAGATTTTTTTAAGTTTTTTGGTTATTTTGGAGGGTTTTTTTCTTTTTGTTGAATTCGAGAGAAATTTTCAATTCTTTGGTTGATTTCGAAAGAATTTCCCCCTTTTTTGGTTGATTTCGAGTGACTTATTCGGTTTTTTGGGATGATTTCGTAATTTTTTTTACTCTAGGAATTTGATTCTCGTTGATTAAACTAATTAGCATCGGCAAAACAACGACCGATCGTGTTTCTTGAGAGGGTTAAAAAAGCGTGAGCCATTATTAAAACATTATGAAGTTGATGATTCAGTTAGATTTTTCAGATGCTGAAGTGAGTTCTTGAGAAAGAACAGAGCGGCTACCTATAATATAAAGATCCTTCACTAAGGTTGACAAAACTAAAAATAAGCCAACAAAATTTAACATTAAATCAAATGTTGGGCAATAAAGGTCATAAATTAAAACTTAATTACTCAAATGTAAAAACTCAATACAAACCCATTAAAATTATAACTAATCAATTTATGGTAAATGACTAATATGAAATTTAAGGTTTCCAATTTTGCTTATTTATCTTTATTTTTCTAGGAAAGTGGGAACAAAAGACCAATTGTTTAGGTAAAATTTAGGGAAAAGTTCAAAAAAACCCAATGAACTTTACTATTTGGAATGATTAAGTCCTTGAACAATTTTTTAGAACAAATAAATCCTTAAACATTTTAAAATATGTTAAATAAGTCATTATACTCTACAAAACCTACTAAATAGATCCTTATTCCTTAAAATATTAACCTGCAACCTGAATAGAAGGTAATTTAAATAAATAAATAAAAAACTTAAAAAAATGTTAGAAGACAGACTCCCTTCGTGACTACTCATCTCCTCCTCGCCCGACCGCTGCTCCTCTCCCGACCGTTGCTCTCTTCCCGTCTCCTTCTCCCTCTCGCACACCATCGTTTCCTTCTCCCTCACACATCGTCGTCTCCCCCAACCCCATCGCCGCTGCATCGCCGCTGCACCACCGCCGCACCACCGCCGCGCTACCCCTGTCGCATCCCTTGTCTCCGCCGTACCACCTCGTCGCCGCCCCTGTCGCTCGTCTAATCAGGTTTGCTCCAATGTGATCAATGTGATATCATGCAACTACGGTGTGATCATCGAACACGTATACATATTGTGTCTAACCTCATCTATTGCATCAACTAAATTGTTAAACTTAAGCCCCTGTCACTTCTCCTAAATGTGAAAAATTCTCAAATGTCCGTAACTAAGGGATGGTGGTGTTAGCGAAACTTGCTTTTAGGGAATTGAAATCAGTTAACCACAAACCAACAACTAGGCTTTATATATGTACAGGAACTTCTCTCTGATCTGATGGTTGCTATTCTACTTTCTTGTTAAAAACTTATAGTACCATTCTAGATAGCTTTTCTCATCTTATTGTGAACTTGCTTTTGAGAATTTGTTTGATGATCATSGTTAGCAGAACGTGTGAATACTTAACTGAATGGTTGCAAACTTGATTAGCTAGCTGTTAAAGGTTGCAAGCTTGATTAGCTAGCTGTTAAGTTGAATGGYGWTGATCTAGTTTTACAGAATTCAATTTGGTTCAGTTGGCTCTGTCCTGTATATCCCAAATAGGTAGCCAGGGCTTGTTGGTAAACAACCCCTAAATGTTGCTCCTAACATTGGTTTGATGTGGATTATTAAACACTTCTAAGGGGTCGTTTACCAAACACTTACCCGGTAAACACTTACGGGTAAAATTCAAGACTATTATTTACCTACCGGGTAAGATTTTAGTTAATAAAAATGGCTTTCTATGCAACAATTTACCCGGTAAGAGCTGACCGTGGTAAGAGTCATTGCCTTCACTTACAGGGTAAGACTCTAAGTCTTTGCYGTGTTCTTACCGGGTAAGATTTTTGGTCCTTACCATATTCATCCGGTAAGRTAATATAACTTGGTAAGAGCTTACCCAAGTAAATATTTGGTAAATAACCCCTAAGTAATGTATTTAAAAATCAACGCTATATCATCAGCAAAAAGCATACACCATGGTATATCATCTTGTATGTCTATTTTAAGCTCATTCATAACTACAACAAGAGACAAGGCTGCCTGTTGCTGTTACCCCATAACTGTAGGGAAAACATCTCACCCGTCACATGCTTTGAAGCTTAATACCATTTAGCAAGCAATCATACATATGTTTGAACACATTAACATATGTTCTTCTTCTGAAGAKCTCATCTATCATCTCTCATGATGATTGTATCATGAGCTTTCTTCTGAAGAACACATTAACATATGTTCTTCTTCCGATGTCTAACCGAGTTGTAAAATTGTTAAATCGTAGGTTTTGGGTTACTATTATTTGAACCCTACCCAACCCGATGACACTAATTTGGATTGCAAACATCGGGTTGGGTTGGGTTGCATCTACCATGCTTATGGTCTTATTATTTTTTCAAACCGCGAACATTGGGTTGAGTTGCATCTACCATGCTTATGGTCATACCTTTTTTAATTAAAATTGTAGCTTTTGGTCTATTTTTTTTTCATCGGTGAATCGTGATGAAATTGTTATTTATGTTTACAGAATGATATCTGATTGCGATGATGATTATAGTGATGATCCTAGCTATGAAATAGACGATAATTCAAGTGAACATATGTCAGATTCTTTATCTCAAGACCTTGAAGATGAGGATGATATAATCAACTTAAATAAAACAGTTGATGATCAGTTTCTAAATAAGCTTTGTATTGTAAACACGATTGACAATGTTGAGTTTAATGTGGATGAAGATGATGATAATGTTGGAGATCATGTTATACAAAAAGGTGTTCAGTACCCGATACATGATCCTAATATTCCTTGGAAGCTGATGAAGCCCAAACTTGGTGAGAGGTATGAGAATCCTAGTCAATTAAAACAGTGTTTGACTAACTACGCGGTTGCAAATGGCTACCAACTACAATACGTGAAAAATGATTCAGAAAGACTACTTGTTGCATGTGGAAAAGGTAAAAAAGATCTCACATGTCCTTTTAGATTATGGGCATCTTGGATGCAAGAAGAAAAGTCGTTTCAAATTAAAAGCATTAATTGTAAGCACATATGTAGTAGAGACTATAGTTTTGGATCCCCTAGTGACACCAATTTGGATTGCAAAGCATTATGTTAGAGAACTCATTGAAAGACCGTTCATAAAAATCAAGGATATGCAAGACGATATTTTGAAAAAGTTTATGGTCAAAGTTAGCAAGGGCCAATGCATGCGGGCCAAGTCCAGGGCACTTCTTGAAATTGAAGGTTCTTTGATAGAACATTATGGAAAACTTTGGGATTATGGACATGAAATTAGGAGAGCCAATCCAGGATCTACAGTTAAGATGGATGTAAATTTAATGGCAGATGGAAGCAATGAATTTAGGAGATTTTATGTATGCTTCAAAGCACTAAGAGATGGGTGGATTAGTGGTTGTAGGAAGGTTATAGGACTAGATGGTTGCTTTTTGAAGGGGGTGTGCAAAGGAGAGTTAATATCGGCTATTGGTCGAGACGGAAATAATCAGATATACCCTATAGGTATGTACATCCAAACTATGCTTGTTATATTAATATCAAGTGTTATTAATTTTTAACCTCTTACAATGTTGAATGTTTATGTAGCTTGGGCTGTAGTAGATGTGGAGAACAAAGAGAATTGGAAGTGGTTCATTGAACTATTAATAGAAGATATTGGTGTTATTGAAGGAGCAGGGCTTACCATCATGTCTGATCAACACAAGGTATGAACTTCCATCACTTCTAACACTTCATATTAACTTATTCAAATGTGTTTCAACCTTTATATCACCATTTAGACCATATATTCAAGTTTTGGGTAGATTTTTCCCATATAGGCACTCTAGTTACCTACCCGATTTCCATTTAGGCAATGTACTTTGTATTTTSAAACCCGACATCATCTAATTATGTCCTTTGTGAGGTGTTAGCACCAAACTTACCTCATACATCTCATTCTAACTATGATTTAATTGCAATTTTATGCAATAGGGCATTGTTGAAGCTGTAAAAGAGTTGGCACCATATGCAGAGCATAGACAATGTGCAAGACACATATATGTTAATTTTCATAAAAGATTTAATGGTGTTGAGTATAGAAACATTTTTTGGGCAGCAGCTACATCCACTTTTGAGGCAGATTTCATGTCACACATGGAAAAGTTTAGGATACAAAACATTAATGCATATAATCATTTGATTGAAAGGGACCCTAATACATGGTGTAGGGCATTTTTCCAACCCGGTAGAGATTGTGAAGCTGTAGAAAATGGGATTTGCGAGTCATTTAATTCAATGTTAGAGGAGATAAGGATATTTGTTATGGAGAGACATTACAGAATGCTAAGCAAAGCACAAGAATGGGAATCAGTTGTTTGTCCGGCCATAAGAAAAAAGTTAAAGAAATGGGGACAAAATCACAGGTATGTTTATCTATGATGGTAATTTTATTATGTATGCTTGTCTATGGTGGTAATATGATCTTGTATGCTAATGTATTCTTTTTCATATGTAGATATTGGTATGTTATTCCTAGTGGTGGGAATGTATTTGAAACACGAAACGGTTTTGAAGCAATGGTGGTAGACTTAGATGCTAGAAAATGTAGTTGTAGATTGTGGGACATATCAGGCATTCCTTGTGTGCATTCCATTGCTGCCATACACTTTATCAATAAGGATCCAGAGGATTATGTTAGTAAATGGTTTACTAAGGATATCTTCAAAATGGCATATGAGAAAACTATAAGACCATTGAATGGGAGCAACATGTGGACTCCAACACCTTACCCCAAACCAAACCCACCTAAGGAAAGAATAATGCCTGGTAGACCATCCATCAAAAGAAAAAGATCAGAATCTGAGAGCGAAAGTACAAGGGTGACTCGATCTGGGAAGACAATGACATGTAGAAATTGCTTGGAAACGGGACATAATGCTAGGACTTGTAAGAATGAAAAGAAGAACCCACCACCTAAACTTGTTAAGCCAAAAGGTAGACCAAGACTCAACATTCCAAAACCGACTACAACAAGAAGAGCCAATGAAGGTGGAAGAGGCAATAGAGGTGG